AGATTTCAGCGTTCTAGCTTCTCAAATCCCCGAGTTATGAACTTACCCGAAAAAAATTTTGGCGGGCCTGTACGCGGGTACCACGATTACCCGGGGGCTCTGTAGCTTCTGTAGGTCTTGAGATAAAAAACCGTGACAGGCGCACACACGGACACACAGACGTACAGACAAACCCTCGTCAATATGCGTTTCCTGTATTGCATAGCTGCAAAAAACGCATAAAAACGAAAACTAATAGGATCTCAGCTCCGAAAAAAAAAAAAATCTGATGCCTTTGTAGCAGGCAGTTCACGTAGACGAGAAAATTCGAAGAAAAGTAACGAACCGAATTTTCAAGAGTTGCGCCAATATGGCACCAGTAGGTTGCAGGACAAATCGTTGGTCCAGTAGCGCCACAGCGAGTGATCTGACCATTTAAACTCACATGCGGGGGACCGGTGGAGCATGGATTCCTGCATTAACACTCATGAAATTTGAGTCTTTTAAAGTGCTTTCCAAAACTTAAGCGCTATCAGCCTGTACAATTTTCACACCAAAATAGAGCTAATCCCGCCCCACTCCTCAAGTCCAGCCAGAGTGGCTACATAGTTTTGCTACAGCTTCTTATGGATTCATAGTGTGTAAACGCTGTGGCACACTTTTCATCAAAGCTATGCCACTACATCACAATCATTAAAATTAAGATTTCACATGACCTTATGATGCATCTATATTTTCAGCTGAGCCTCCTCATCCTGCAACACGAAAAGACCAAAACATAGTAAATATGAGTGTACACCTTAAAATGTGAAGAAATAGCCATTCATACCGTTATGACCTAACTGTTCTAAGTTTAGCTCAAAAGCGCATGATCGCACTGGCAAATCCTGTGCGTCGCTACTGGGTCCTTAAAAAATTCTGATATATCTTTACTCCGGTAAAACAGAAATCTTAGCTGGCAAGTTGCTCAAGATCTTGATCAACTGGAGCTAAAAAATCATGACCGGTAAAATCTGACCGCTCATTAAAAGTTGAGAGTCCTTTCACATTTCATTTTTCGCAAAGAGCATGGGTATAACGGAAGCAGCTCGAGTGATTGTACGTCGGTAATGAATACTAGTCTTGTTCAATGCTGAATTCCTAGTTGGCTCGGAATTTAAAGATTTTTTATAAGAAAAAAAAAATAAAAAAGTCTTTTCATGTTTTACTCTCTTCAGCTGGCACACGCACGTCGGAAGAATCTCAGATGGCTGTACATTAATTTTAAGTGGTGGATTTGTTCAGATCCTAGTTGGTTCAGCATTAGAAGAAAACCCAGGCTGGAATGCACTGGGCGGGCCCGTGCGATCATGCGTTTTTGCACCGGACTTGAATTACTTAGGTCATTAACTGCACGATTAGCTGTATAACAGCTGTTGCTTTACAGCTACTTTTTGCGGTCACTAGCATAAACCGCAACAAATTTTGCAGAGTAAATGTACAGTTTCCATTTAACAGTCGTTCTTTAAAAGTAACCTAGTTGTTCAGTGAGAAATTTTTTCAACGCTTTTAAGTGTCCGTACGTAAGAGCCACGCATACCTCAAGGCTGAATTTGAAATACTTAATTTGTACTTGGACAGTGGACATTCTCTCAAAATTTCAGCTTTCCAGCTTTTCTGGTTACCGAGTTAGCAATTTTCCCGCCAGAAACTACACATGTCCGCACTTTGTTACTCCACGCGCCTGGAAAGATGAATCTGAAATTTTTAAAATGCACGTGGACAGGGAACATCCACCTAAAATTTCAGCCTCCCAGCTCTTCTGGTTGCCGAGTTGGTAATTTTCCTGCAGAAGCTTTCATACGCCCTTACGTGAGTACCGAGCATAGCTTGGGGCTGAATCTGAAATATTTGAGTTGTACTTCGATAGGGAACATTACCCTGAAATTTCAGCTTTCTAGCTTTCCTGGCACTCGAGTTAGCAATTTCCCTCCCCAAAAATTTCATACGCCCTTACGTGAGTACCACGCACACCTGTGGGCTGAATTTAAAATCTTTAGCTAGTACATGCACAGGGGATATTCTTACAAAGTTTCCCGCTCGTAACAACATATTCCTCGTTATATGTCAAGTATATTCCTTTAAATGCGCTTATTACCACTTTCTTGTACATGTTCCCATGGATGGGATTCAATACCTTTTCTCTTTAAATTTCTTACTCACTTCTCATC